TCGAGCCCCGCATCGGGCTGGCTGCAGCTTTGGATACCCCTCTCTCTCTGCTCCTTCCCGGCGCCCACTCTCCCTTTCAAAAATAAACGCTAAAAAAAACTAGTGTTTTTTTAATAAAGAAAACAAAGGTTTTCCCTTAATGTCCCCAGTACCTTAGTGTCTGTTTTCCTATCAAATGCACCCCCCGCCCCAGCTTTTCTCTACCCAGTAGAATAAAACACTCTCAGGTCCAGCTACCTTCTGAAGAGGTCCCTTGAAGGGACAGAAGGAACAGCTTAGGCACAGAAGGACACAAGCTTTGAGACAGGCAGACATGAGTGCAAATCTTGGATCTGCCACTTCCTGGCTATGTGACCTTGGGTAAGCATATTAACCTCTCTGAGCCTCAGTTTCCTTAGCCATAAAATGCGCCAGTGAGGTGATGTATTAGTAGGCACAAAGTTAAGGTTCAATGAAGGAGGAGGAGGAGGAGGATGATGATAGCACCAACAACTTCTGAACTATAGAGTAGCCTATCTTGGAGGGCCCTGGATCCTCACCCCTAAAAGGACTCATGCCTTAGATCCCCAAGCTTCTCACATTGCCCTTCTCAGTATTACCCACATTCCTGAGAACAGCCTCAGCAGGAGCTATTAAACTCACCTGGCCCCACCCAGTCCGCACATCAGGGGCTATGGTGGCACAGAAAAATAACTAATTGGTTTCCACAGCACTTCCCATCCCTCCTCCCCTTTCATCCTCCCAGCTGTGAAGTAGGTGGATATTCTTCTCCTCCTCATTGTACAGAGGTGACAACTGAGGCAGAGTTAGAGGGGAGGTAGTCCATACAGGAATTTGAGCATCATCTTGATTCTGAATTCCCTGTGCTTTCCTTGTATCATAGGAGTCTCAAGCAGCACTTTGGGGTCTAGCCTTGCTAAGAGGAGAAAGAACATGTTTTTTGTTGAAACATGGTTTATGTGTATGGCTGTAAAGTCCTGAGCACACGGTTACAGGCTCTTTGGGAGCAGACAGGTACCTATAAGGAAATGCAGCATCTGGGGGTGTTCTGAGACCACAGCCAGCCACCCTAATGCTGATGGGAGGGGAGAGAAGTGAGGGGGAGGTCAGGGTCCTGGCCCCAGGTCCACGGCTGACATCCCAAGTAACCTTGGGCAAGTTTCTGAGGTTCCTTCCATTCCCACTTTCGAACACAACTTGAAAAAATAGATAGGTAGATAAATAGAGAGAAGTTCAGTTTAAGCAAAAAGACATCTGCGGTTCTCATCATCGTTACTTTGGCTTTGAAAGTGACAGCTCAGAGACCCCCCACCATTTTTAAAAATTTTAGAGACAAAACAGTATAACTTAATAGTTCTGCCAACTCTTCAAAACACAGAGAACACAACACTGAATTTTTTTCTTTTCTTCTTCTTCTTCTTTTTTTTTTTCTTTCAATTTTGGCAAAGGAAGATTCAGTTCCTGGAAATGCTTACAAAATGATTCCTGACACTGGGAGGAGATAGATTAAAAAGGAAGAAGGAGACGACAAAGAAAAAACATATACTTATATAGATTAAGAAAGAAGGTGGAAAGAAAGGATAACCAAAAGGAAGAAAAGAAAGGACTGAAGGAGGGAGGAGAAAAAAAGGCTTTAAAGGGCCCCAATTCAAGGAACGTTATCAAGTTCCCAGCATCTGCAATTGACAAGCCGCTCGCCTGTCCGGGCGGCGCAGACCCCGCCCCTTTCTCGGGTGTCGGGCGCTCATTGGTGGGGGCGGCAGTCGCCGACCGGTGACTGCCCGAGGAAAGGTTGCCTGGGACACGCATCCCTGTGTGAACGCATGACGTCCCACCCTGGCGCCAGGCTGTCTGGGGCTGAGTCTTAGATCAACACAGCTGTGGGACCGGGACCCACAGCTGGGCAAAGGAGCGGATTCCTCAACAAAAAATAGGATTGTGAGAAAAGTTCTGAAACAAAAACAGCGCAGACAAAAGCCTTAATGACATCCTTTCATAAAAATAAAAAATGCAAGTGGGGGGAAAAAGCTGGTAAAAGGAGCAGAACTGGGAACAGAAAGTTCAGAGGCATTTGGAATAAGAGGCTGAGGCCCCGCCACCACTAAACTAGTTGCAGAAGGCCTGAGCTAGCCCTTCAGTCAGCTGTTGGAAAAAGAAGTCTCTAGGATTCAAACTTTATTCAGTATTCCCAACGGTACCCTAATTCTTTCAGAATTAGAGTCTTAGATTGGAGAAGACCCTTCGAGGTCCAGCCCACCCCCCCCAAGCTACCCCCCTCCACCCCCCACATTTTGCAGAAAATTCGGCCCAGGAAGGAAGGAAATTTGTCCAAGGCCACATTGCAAGTTGTTGGCATGGCCAAGACAGAATTCTGCTTGCTAATCCCACTGCATCCTTCTCCTGCCTTGTGTCACACAGCCCATGGGTATTTCAGTCTGAAAGCATCTTTGGGAAATTATAAATGTGAAGGTGCTTTGCAAACAGCTATACAAGCCTGAGGCATCGGTGGTAGTAACAGAGGGGGGAAAAGGAGTGAAGAGAACCTGTGTGGACCTGTGGACCGAGCACCTACCACACACCTGGCCCCATGCTGTGTCCCCAGGCACCCAGGAGACAACAGATCTGGTGGAGAGAGCATGTCAAGTGCCTTGCAGAGCAGAGGCATGCAATAAGTATTTGTTGAATAAATGAGGTAGGTCTGATTAGCTTCATTTTATAAATTGGGGGACTGAGACGCAGAGAGTTGACTTAGTGCAACACCATTAGTAAAAGAGAAGAGCAGAGATTTGAACATAAATCTGCCTGGCCCCAAAGGCCATGATTTTTCCAGAACCCCCCCCCCTCCCGGTTTGACCATTTTGCACAAACCACGGAAGTCTGCATGATAGAAAAGGAAAAGGTCTTCTATTTGGTCATTCAGGAGTCCGCATAGCCACCATTTTCCCTTCCCATGACCAAATAGCTGGAATTTTCTTCTTTTGATGTCTGTAGTTATAGACTGACTGGTGTACTCGCAAGTTATTTTCTTCCTCCTTCTTGTGCTAGAGTATGAGAAACCTAAAAACATTAATATTCTAGGAAGAAATCTTTAGAAGACCCCTTTCTTGGAAAACAGCCCTGTGGTACGATGGCAAACAATGGCACTTCAGGGTTAGTTCTGCCGTTAGCTGTGGTGTGACACTGGACATGTTTTATAGTCGCTCTCTGGGCCCTTTACCATCCCACACCTGCTTGTCCCAATTTCATAAAGCCTTAGATTTCTGGCATTGGGAAGGCTTTAAAATAATCATTTGGCGCCACCTCCCCATATTATTACCAAGGCAACCCAGGCCAGAGTACCTGGGCTTGTTCAGGATCCTGCGGCAAATTATTGCCAAGGCTGGGAATATCGATTCTAGTGTCCTTCATGCTATGACTATTTTGAGACTCTCTTAGCTCTGGGCTCCCATTGTGCTGTTAATCAGTGCCACATACTCTAGAACTCTTAATTGTTTCCTGTGTTAATCTTGTCTCCCCAAATTGTGAGATTCTTAAGAGCAGGAGTCACTGTTTTATGTGAGGTGAGTCCATAAATATTTACCAACTGATTGATTTAGGAAGCAACCATTGGGGGATCCCACCTGGTCAGTTCCAAGATGAAAACCCGCATTTTGAGGCTGCAAATTCCTCAGAGTTCTGGGAAGTTACAAGAAGACAAGGAAAGAATACTTGAGAGCAATGTCCTGTTGCAATAGAGGGCTTAGCTCTTTCCTGGGCTCTCAGAGCTGGAGCTATTTCAGCAAGGCTAAGAATAATCAAGTCCAGGTGGCCTATCCTTCCATAGCAGAAAGGGACAGACAATAGAGTGATGAAATTACCAAACTTGTTTTCTGCATAGAGGTGTGTGGAAAGGGCAAAGCAAGAATTAAGAGATTCACTGACCCAATGGGGGACTCCTAAAAAGACTTATACAGAAACCATCCTGTCACCCCATATTTAAAATCTGGTCCTGGGGCACCTGGGTCGCTCAGTCGGTTAAGCGTCCCACTTTGGCTCAGGTCACGATCTCACAGTTTGTGAGTTCCAGTCCCACATTGGGCTCTGTGCTGACAGCTCAGAACCTGGAGCCTGCTTCTGATTCTGTGCCTCCCTCTCTCTGCTCCTCCCCAGCTCGTGCTCTCTCCCAAAAATAAACAAACATTTAAACATTTAAAAATAAAATAAAATAAAATCCGGTCCAAAAGTCTAATCAAACTCACTTCCAAAACACAATTGGGCATATATTTGGCTCCTTATGGAGTGCACAGAGCCAGAGGGTGAGACCTCCTTTCTTTCCCCATGCAAAAATCACGGATTCAGCCTGCTCTTTTTTTTTTTTCCCTTTTCCCCTGTTGCTCAAATAAATAGTGTTCTTTGCTCAAACCCCCTTCCCCTCCTCCTCCTGCAATCTCAGCGCCTAGCCCAAATCTGTTTTCTTCATTGTAACCTCAGCTTCACCGCAATTAATTTTTTTCCCCTCTGGTCACAAGATAATTCCTGACGCCAGTGAGTCTGGAGGTCAGACGAACAGCAAATTGGGGAACAAGGCGGCACTAATTCCTTACAAGTTTCCCTTGAAAAAGCCTTTGCTTAAAAAAAAAAGAAAAAAAAAGCTTCTTTGCTCTTCAGGGATTTATGACCTCAGAGGAGCTGTGGGTTCGAACTAGTGTTGGGCTGTGGGTGGACTGGCAGCGGGCAGGGGAGCTCAAAGATCTGGGGCGCTGCCAGGAAAAGGCAAATTCTTAAAGTTAATAGTTTTAAGTGATTTTTAAAATCCTTGCTGGCAAAGAGGCCCGCCTCTCCCCAGTATCAGCGCTTCCTCATTCTTTGAATCCGCGGCTCCGCGGTATTCGGCGTCAGACCAGCCTGAGGAAGCCTGTTTGCAATTTAACCGGGATGTGAACGCCCAGGGCTGGCGGAGGCGGGGCCGAGGCTCACGTTTTGCATAAGGGGGCGTGCCTTCGAGGAGGGCTCTATAAGTACCGGCCGCGGCGAGCGTGCGCGCGTTGCCCGCTGCCTCAGGCGTCCCTCGGTTCTCTCGCTCCTTTCGGCTCCTCCAGTCTCATCCCTCAAGATGAAGGCGCTGAGCCCGGTGCGCGGCTGCTACGAGGCGGTGTGCTGCCTGTCTGAACGCAGCCTGGCCATCGCGCGGGGCCGCGGCAAGGGTCCGGCAGCCGAGGAGCCGCTGAGCCTGCTGGACGACATGAATCACTGCTACTCGCGCCTGCGAGAACTGGTACCCGGAGTCCCGCGAGGCACTCAGCTTAGCCAGGTGGAAATCCTGCAGCGCGTCATCGACTATATCCTCGACCTGCAGGTGGTTCTGGCCGAGCCTGCCCCTGGACCCCCAGACGGCCCGCATCTCCCCATCCAGGTGTGTGCGGGCGTGCGCGGGAGCCGCGGCGGGGCTGAGCTCCGGAGCCGGGATGCTGCTTAGACCCCGAGCGCTCGCTCCCAAATGCCACGCATAACTTTCCCCCTTTGCCTTCTCCCAGACAGCCGAGCTCGCTCCGGAACTTGTGATTTCCAACGACAAGAGGAGCTTCTGCCACTGACCTGGCAGCCCTGGCGCCTCCAGGTGAGCATCCCCGCCTTCTCCGGGGGCTGGAGGTGGGGCGGTGCTTAAACGGACGAATCTTGGAATTGGTAGGCCTTCTAAGGGATTACGGCCGCCTCAGTGTGGGGAAAACGAGGCGAGAGAGGGGCTGGTGACTTACCCGTGGTCACAGCAAATGAATGACGGAACCAGTTCCCACCCCGTGTGCGTTTCAACCTTCAACGCACTTTGCCCCTGCCCTCTCCCGGGGGCCAAAGACGCGAGAAAGTAGGCGCAGGTTAATAGGCGTTCTGTTCGTAGCTTGGAGTGGTAAAGGAGGCTGTGTCTTCCTCAGCCCTCTTCCAACTAGTGTCAATTCCAAGAGGGCGGGGTGGTTGCGAGCTCCGCCTGTGGTCCTTTGGCGCCAACTGGGTGGGGGCAGCGCGGGGCGCGGAGTTATCAGCTGGAGGTAGAGACCAAGTTTCCTCCCTGGCGCCGGGCTGTCTGCGGACGGCCCCCGCCTCGGCGCGCGCGGCGGAAACTGATGGCTCCCTGGTCTTCTTTTCCTCCCCCGCCCAGAACGCAGGTGCTGGCGCCCGTTCCGCCTGGGACCCCAGGACCCTCCACGGCCGGAAGCCCGAGGGCATGGATGGGCCCCAACCTCGCCCTGCCCACTTGACTTCCCCGAACCCCTGCCTCGAGGCTGGACCTGGCGCCCGGGAGCGAAGGACTGTGAACTTGGGTGGCCTCGAGAGCCAGAGCTAGCTCTGGGCACCAGCTGGGCAACGTCCCCCAGCCCCCACCCCACCCCACCCTCAAGTTTTAAAGACTGTCTTTCAGAGTGTGGAGGTTGGTGGGGGGTGGGGATGGGAAGTGGCTGCTCTCCAGTGTCTGCCAAGGCAGGAGTAGAGCTGGTCTTCTGGTCTCCTTGGAGAAAGGCTCTGCTGCCCTGATTATGAACTCTATAATAGAGTATATAGCTTTTGTACCTTTTTTGCAGGAAGGTGACTTTCTGTAATCATGCAATGTATATTATTAAACTTTTTATAAAAGTTAACATTTTGCATAATAAACGGTTTTTAAACACTTGAGTATATAATTTGGTTCCTTAAGTTGCTAACACTTTCAGAAGACTGAATTTAGGGGAAATAATGCCCTTCTTGGACCTTGGGAAAAGCAAACTTGCTTATTTAAGGGAGATGGGAAAATGCCAGCTAAGACTGGAGGTGGGGAGGGGAGTGGAAAAGACTCCCGATGGGAGTCCCATATCCGCTGAGGTTTGGGTGCAGAGAAGATCCTGGCCCTGGCCCTTCAGTTTACAAGTGAGGGACGATGTGAGGGAAGTGACTAGAGCAGGCTCAGCAGGTTGGGAGCTCAGGATAGAAATCAGATTCCCTGAGTCCCAGTTCTAGGTCCCTTGAGCTGCTTTGCTGCATTACCATAGACGGTCGTCCTCTTCAATGTCATTAACATGGTGTCTTTCTAGCAGGGGATGTGGAAGAGTAGTCTCACCTGGTGCCCAGACAGGGGTGGTGGTTGATAGACCCATTTCCGAGATGAATAAGCACATTGGGGCCTGGTTTCATTTCCCTCCTCATGCTCTCTGGTTTGGCTTCCCCTTGGGCTTCCAAATTTGGAAAAAGTAGGAGAAGGGACATTGCCCAGCTGGTCCCCAGCCACTGTGGTCAGAATGACTTGGGTGCTGGTTGGGAAATACTAGTACCAATCCCTCTGCTACTGCCAGGTGGTTGAAGGCTCTGAGACTAGACTTGGAATTTGAGGAAGCTGCCCTATATAGCCCCCATTCCTTCCAGTCTTTCCTTCCCGTAACACCTCCACTGGTAGTCTACTCGTAAAGCATCTTTATCCCTATCTTTTTCAGAAGTGGAGAAACTGAGGCTCAGTTGATAGTGGGTCTGAATCAGCTTCTCAGAGCCCTTTGAGAGGAAGCGATGGGATTTTAACCTAACTAGAGTGACTATAATTGTAGGGGACAGAAGCAGAGCCTAAGACTGGCCATCCCATGGGCCCAGGTCTGAGAGGAGGGCAGAAGGCAAGCCCCTCCCGCAACCACACCGTCCCCTCTTGCCCCCCCACCCGGCAGCTCCCCAGGTGGGCTCCACCAGGCTCCTGGCCTCACTAGATTCCTGTTTATGATATGATCTCATCTGTGTGTTGGCCCCTGGCATGAGTTACTTCAATATTTCATAACAAACAGGTCACGTCATCACCCTTCACGCCTTAACCTTGGTGGGCTTTCAGGGGTGAACAGGCATGTGGTGGGGAGGCAACCTCTGTCCTTGCCAACCGGCTGACCAGCGGTTTCTAACCTGTTTCCTGGTTTCTTCTGATGATCTGATGGAAGGTATGAACACTCTTCAGAAAACACCCCCCACACCCTCACACACACCTTTGCAGAGTAATAGCCGACCTCCAAGCCCCTGGGGAGTCCTCAGTTCCCGTGTGAGGAACTCTTGCCTCAAACCAGGTAGACCCAGATTGGGTCCACCTCGGTTTGTTTTGTCCGGTGTGCTTTGCCAGCTCTGGGGACAGCCACATGGGTGCAGATCCTTGCTTTGTCACGTACTAGCTGTACAACTGCAGGCTAGAGTCTCCCTGTGTTGACCCTCAGGGTCCACATCTAAGTAACTGCTGCTCCTGAGTGTACTATTCTGAGGCACCTGGCTCTACATTAGACCATGAATTAGGGTAGAATAGAACCAGGCACGGAACTTCTACCCTTTCTGCCACGGCACACTGCTGCTTCCTGCTCACTCGAAGCTGTGGAACTGGGGAAGGCCAGCAAGAGCTGAAGCCCTCATCTGCCAGTGACCTTGGGCAAGCCGCCTCACCTCTCCAAGCCGCTCTCCTCCTTTGCCCAGCAGCTGGCGGCCCTTGCACTGCTGCCTCCCTGGACTGAAGATAATGGTGGGAAAGTTCTTTGAAATGCATCACACACCTACAAGGTATTATTAAGCTAATTCCAAGGAAATTGCCTGTCAGGTCTGCTGAGACTGAGCTGTTCAGGTGGCCGGGACAAAAGCTGAAACCAGCATGCCAATTCATTAGTCATTAGAGAGTGAAAGCAATTTGGCCTTAGGGCGGAAAAGTCTCAGAGAGAGGATAGTGTCTTCTGTAATAATCACCTATTGAGTGCCTGCCAGGTGCCAGGCTCTATTTTATCTATTTTTTTTTCCTAATCCTCACCACAACGCAGCAAAGTGGGTATCGTTATCCCCATTTTACAGAAGAAACAGACTCAGAAAGGGTGAATAACCTGATGCAGGTCACACCATAAAGAAAAAGAAGCGGCACAGGAAGCCCAACTCCACATAACTTCGAACCCCACGTCTTCACGTCCACTCCAAGCCAGTTCTTCTTCCTCTCCATTCCTTGTGCGCGGTACTGCTTTAGTCCCCAGTGGGTGCTTGCTGAAGGAAAGACCCAGGGCCACCTCGGGTCTCTCCCTCCTTTGTGAAAGGGGGTGGTGGTACTTCCCTTGCAGGTTTGGAATTCAGATGAAAGGTAACATACATAAAGCATATACCAGGCTCTCTGAAACACAAGATTCAGTAAAACTAGGTGTCTTACGTTCAGTATCGCATCAGCTCTGAAATATGGCCATTTGGGAGAGACTTTTACTTTGTAAATAAAAAACAAAACACAACACAACACACCAAACAGGCTCCAAACAGGCGAGGTAACTTGCCCGTGGCCACCCAGCTCCTAAGTAACAAAGCAGGGATTCAAATTCATGCCCGTGACTCCGGAGATGATGCCCTTTTTGGGGGGGCCTGTTATAGCTCTCCCCAGCTGTGGATGCACCCGACAACCTTCAATTAGCTGTCTTCCCGGCCCCGGCACCTCTCATGTTCTCCATTCCTCAGGATACACTCTAAACCCTCCTGTCGCTCTCTTTCGCGCAGAACTGATCCTCGGGTTCCCTCTGCCCGCTCCCCACCCTTGCAGCTAGGGAGCCGCTTTCCACCCTCCACGGCTCAGAGCCGGGGCAGGGGTGGAGCCTCGGCCCACGTGGCCCCGAGCCCCGCCGGGCGGAGGCGAGCCGGCCCCGCCCCTCGCCCCGCCCCCGGCCCGGCGACCCGCGCTCCCCCCCCGCGGGCCCTGGGGGCCGCTCGCAGGTGTTCACTGGCGCCCGGATGTCTGAGCTCTGGCTCCGCTCTGGCTCCGGCTCCCTCCGCAGCCTGCGGGCGGGGCTCCCAGCCCATCCGGAGCCTCGCGGCGCCCCCGCCGCTCTGCCAGCAGCGCGGCCTCCCAGTTCCCAGCCTCCCGGCCTGGGGGGGCCCCCCACCCAGCGGAGTCGCTGACCCGACTGCTCTCCCGCTGCCCCCAGCTGCGCTCGGGCCGCTGCAGCCTCAGCGTGCCCCCACCCCGCTTCCTGCCTAGGCAGTTTTGCCCTGGCCGGGCGGCCGCCCTGGATCGCACCCCGTTCCTTCCTTCCTTCATTCTTTCAGGCTTCGCATTCCTCGAGCGCCTGCGACGTGCCCCGCACAAGGCCAATCCGACCTTCCGAGTGTGGCCCCAGGCCCACCCGAGTTCTCCGGGAAGCCTCTGCCCTCCGCCCCGGTCTCCCTCCCCACCCCCACCCCCACTCTCCTCTCTGATGTCCTCGTTCACCCGCAATTTAGCATTTAGTTGCTCTCTGGTTTTTCTCCTGTTAAGGGTCAGTCAGTGGCAAGGTCAAGGGGTCTCCTTGCGACCAAAATTAGGGTCGGTCTGAAAGTAGGGTAAGGGGTCAGAGTGTGGCCGGAGGTGGGATTCGGCCAGACTGTGGCAGGGTTTGGGGGAAAGTGTGGGCAGGAGCTGGCAGCAGTCTTCCCAGGGCCTGGCTTAAAAGACATGGTGGGAAGGTCAGTCTGAGTAGTAGCAGTGGTCAAGGTTAGTGAGTCAGTCTATGGGTAGGGTCAGCGGACAGTCCAGATCAGGGCAGTAGGTTACTTATGACAAGGATTTGAGGATTGCCTTTGACAAGCCAGATAAAGGGGGCGGCGGAGGGGGGGGTGCATTCTCTAGCCCTCTGAACTCATTCATATTCCTCCAGGCTGGGGGCTGACTGTAGTCCCCCCCCCAAGCCACTGAAGCTATAGAAGTGACTTTCCACGGGGGGGGGGGGAGGGAGGACCCTCCTTCTCAACACCACCACCCTACTCCAACTTTGTGCCAGATGTAGGGGGCAGAGCTCTCACTGCGCCAGACCAGGCTCAAAGGGAGCCCAGGTAGGTAGTGACACTGGCTGTAGGCTTCCTATGAACCCCACTCTGGAGCCACCCTTGTTTGCAGGTAAGTCGATGTTCTTCCCTGTACCTTTTGCTATTTGTTCATAAATCTAAAGCTTGTCATGGATAGAAGGGCCCTTCTGGGTCACAGATGTGGCCCAGAGAAGAGAAGAAACCTGCCCAGTGGCACACAGAAAGTTCGTAGTCAAGACAGGACTCGAACCCAAGCCTCCTACCTGCCTATCTAGGGCTCTTTTTGTGATATGTGCTTATCCTCCGCAGGGATTGTTACTCCCACTTTAGATCGGGGGCAGCTGAGACCCTGAGAGGCTTGGGGCCTCACAAGGCTCCTATAGAGGGACTGTCAGGGGCTGGTCCACACCCCCGTGGAAATGTGAAGTCCGGGATGGTGGGTCGCTGAAGCATTGTCTCCTTGTCATTGCCACCCAGCCGCCTCCTTCCTGCTCTCATTAGGAGCAAATGAAACAAGGGTGGCCAAGCCTGAGCGGGGAAGCTGGGGAGGGGAGAGAACACTTTAAGAACGAACTGCTGGGGAAAAGCTTAGCTGGGTTCTTATGGAAACATATGGAACTCATTACCCTAAGTTGAGGTGGTCCCTGGCCAGCTGGCAGTAGGTTTGGGGCTAAGAGTGTGAGTTGTGTGGCAGTAAGGGCACCGAGGCATGGCAGACCCCAACCCCCGCCCCCCCCCCCCCCCCCCCCCGCCGGGAATACGGCACCTGTTCACCGGTCCAGGTTCTTCTTGACTCTGGTTTTGTGTCCAGTTCATGCCATTTTTTTAAGCATTAAACAAACAAACAGAAAGGTTTAAAAGTAAGGGTTTCAAGACCCTCCAGG